AACTTTAAATCTTAATCATCACGATTCATGATTAATTAAGATCTCAATTCACCAGCTCAGAATAAGTAGACCCTAAATCTCAATCACGGGAAAATAGGATAGGCATAATAATTCATTCATATACCTAAAGTGAAAGGAAGCTAAATGGAGTCCAGTTCAAGTTGAAGTTGTGCATGTGAGAACGTGCACAAATCTAAGGCAAAGAATGGTCCATAATATCATCCGAATAATCTACCCAAAAAAAAATCAAGTGAAATAACCCCTTTTAATCTCTCTCCCACGAGGAACCACGTGTTGACAACTCTTTTAACTCCTCACCATCGACTTCACCCCACTCTTACCTCCTATTTCCTATCCTCAATTTGAATTATTATGCAAATTTATTTATTTATTTATTTATTTATTTTCCTTCTATGGTCCTCAATAGTACTTAGTGGCTTTGAGAACTTTTGTAGTACTTATTGCCTACATTAGGATCTTCNAAACACTCTTTCTTAGAATTCAAGATCGCGATTAACAAGTACATAGATCGAGCCCATCAATGGATAAGTCTATATATAAAGAGAATAAGTATTAACTAAAAATAGTAGTCAAATAAATTTGGGAGTATTTAATGCATACATTCATTAGAAACTTTTTAAATACATGCATTATTTGTTTTCATATACACGTTTTAAAATCAGATCAAATCATATATGATGAAAAAAGATTCTTTCATTAATAATTTTATTAACATCTGCAATAATCTCATTAATCAATTATAATAAATTACAAAATTATTTTTTCATGATTCATTTCGATAATATTTTGGTAAAGATAAATATCAAAATATATTCTAAGTTCTAACCATTTGTCTTTCATATTAACTTTTCATCCTAAATATTTACCTAAAACAGTAACTGGTTAGGTAAATTTTTTCTTCTAAATAATTAGCGAAATCAAGTTGGTGAATTACGCTTTGTCAATATATATTTTTCTCAAGTTTTATTTTATTATATATATATATGTGTGTGTTTATATATATATGAAATAGTTATTCTTCAAATTAATATACTTTACTATTTGTAAGATAATGACCTGACTTTAATTAATTTTACTTATGACTAATAATAAAATTAAAATATATTAACTATTCTTTATAATTTCAACATGTGATTTTTTTATATTATTTTTAAGCATGATTAATTTTTTATTTATTTATTTTTATTTTATTTCCATACTGAAATTTGTGTAAAATATATTACCATTGCATAATATGTTAGATACACTATAAAGATTCGGGATGTAAACTAGAAAAATATATTAATTGTAGAAGGAATTTAGTTTTTTTTTTATAATAATTACAAAATCAAAGGTGTTTAATTATTATAAAATAATTNTATATATATATATATATATATATATGGCAAAATTGCATATAAAAGCACCACCTTTTATGTTTTTGCATTTTAATCACGACCTTCTCATATTAGCACTTAAGTACATGACCTTTCATCTCTTTGCAAGTCGAAGCACGACTTTCATCTCCGGCACCAATTAAATGACGTGGCCTGCCGGAATATACATCTGGAATTTAGAAAAGCGAGAAAAATGCCAAAATAAAATCCACGTCGTTTATTTGACACGTCGGCTGCACCAAAAAATTAAAAAACGAGAATCTAAATTCCACGTCGAGTGCATAAATAATAAAAATCCCGAAATTGAAGAGGAATGAAACATTAAAAAATCCTCTGTAAAGGCAATCTCAGATCTCAAAGACAAAATCGACAAATCCAAGGCTTGAATACTGAAAATCCTAGACAAATCGGCCTTATTCTATATGAAAATCACCAATGTGGTCCCAATACCGAACAGTTGATGAAGGAATGGCAGACAGGTAATCTTTCTATGTAATATTCTATACGAAATTCGCTATTTGTTTTTTCCTTGAATTCTATAATCTCTTTTAGATACATATATTTTATTAATTATGGGTTTCGATTAAGATATTTTCGCTTACAGTTTTGCAATTTTAGGGTTTAT